CCAACTTGGGCCAGTGAAGCAATGTCCTCCACAACTAGACTGAAGAACAAAACAACAGCAACTTGTCTGTTCCCCTTCCCCTAATTCCCCAGCGCGGTTCCCATCCCCCAATTCCCCAATATAAAAAAAAAAAAAAAGATGGCAATACACCCAATGCAATCTACAGATTCAATACAATCCCTATCAAAATCCCATCAGCCTTTTTTTCAGAAATGGAAAAGCTTATCCTTAAATTCATATGGAATTGCCCAGGGCCCTGAATAGCCACAAAAATATTGAAAAAGAACAAATTTGGAGGACTCACACTTTCTGATTTCAAAACTTATTACAAATTATAGTAACTAAACAGTGTGGTATTGGCATAAGAATAGACTTACAGACTAATGGAATAGCATTTAAAGTCCAGAAATTAGCCCATACATTTATGGTCAATAGATTTTCATCAAGGATGCCAAGACAATTTAATGGGAGAATAGTCCTTTCAACAAATGGTGCTGGAAAAACTGGATATCCACATGCAAAAGAATGAATTCAGACCCCCAACTCACATCACCTACAAAAATTAACTAAAAATGGATCAATGACCTAAAAATAAAACTCTTAGAAGAAAACATAAGAGTAAATTTTCCCAACCTTGGATTTGGCAATGGATTCTTAGATCTGACACTAAAGGCACAAGCAGTAGAAAAAAGGTAAGTTGGACTTCATCAAAATTAAAAGTGTTTTTTTTTTAGCTGAGCCATCCTGCCACATGTTGGCAGCTCAGCGGCTGCTCAGCTCGGGCCAGGAATTGAACGCTGTTGCTCAGAGCTCAAACTCTTAAGTGAGCTCTTGGGCGGGCCTAGTGGCGCGATGGTTGGGAGCTGGCCTGGGACACCGGAGGGCCTCGGTTCGGATCCCACATATGAGGGCCAGTGACACTGCCCTCTACAGCTAAGGTGCTGAACAGCAACTCAACCTGGAGCTTGGTTGCCATGAGTCGCCGGCGACGGCGTAGGCTGCAGCTCCTGTGGCAGTGGGTTGCCGTGGGCTGCCGTGTGTGGCCAGCGGCCAGCGTGTGTGGCCAGCGGCCAGCGTGGGTGGCCGGCAGCCGCGGTGAGCGGCCGTCCAGAGGCCGGCGACTGATCTGCCTCGCCCGGGAGGAGCGCGGTGGTGGTGCCGACTTGGGCCGGTGGGGCAGCGTCCTCCACGGCTAGACTGAGGAACAAAACGACAGCAACTTGTCTGTTCCCCTTCACCCAAGTCCCCAGCACTGTTCCCATCCCCCCAATTCCCCAATAAAAATCTTTTAAAAAAAAACAAAAACAAAAAAAAACTCTTAAGTGAGCTCTTAACCAACTGAGCCACTCGGCTGGCCCAAAATTAAAAGCTTTTGTGTTTCAAAGGACACTATCAAGAAAGTGAAAGACAACCCACAGAATGAGGGAAACATATTTGCAAATCATATATTTGATAAGGGTCCAGTACCCAAAATATATAGAGCTCTTAAAAGTCAACAATAGACAATTCAACTTAAAAATGGGCAAAGGTTAAGAGCTCGCTCAAGAGTTTGAGCTCTGAGCAACAGCGGTTTGATGCCCGGCCCAAGCTGAGCTGCCACTAAGCTGCCAATAGGTAGCAGGATGGCTCAGCTAAAAAAAGAAAAAAGAAAAATGGACAAAGGACTTGGATATACCCAAGAGAATTGAAAACATGCTCAGAGAAAACTTGCACATTCATAGCCTGAATGGTAACAACCCAAAGGTTCATCAACTGATAGATAAAATGTGGTATATCAATACAATGGAATATTACTTGGCCATAAAGAGGAACGAAGTCCTGATATATGCTATAACATGATCATTTAAAACATATCTTAAGTGAAAGAAGCCAGACATAAAAGACCACATACTGTATGATTCCATTTATATGAAATGCCAAAATAGGCAAATCCATAGAGAAATGTAGATTAGTGTTCTTAGGGCTGGGGGGAAAGGAGAATGGGAGTGACTGCTAATGGGCATGCGGTTTCTTTTTGGGTGATAAAAATGTTCTGAGACTAGTGGTGATGGTTGCCCAATTAAGTGTACTAAAACCCACTAAACTGTATACTTTAAAAGTGTGCATTTTATAATATGTGAATTATATCTCAATAAAGCTGTTATTAAAAAAAAGCCCTGAAATATTCAAGAAATAAAGGCCAGTGTGGTTGGAGAACAGTGAGTGGTAGGATACAGTTTATTCATCCATTAAGAAATATATATTGTATGCTTACCATATGTTCTAGACATTGTGGATACAGTATTAAATATAGCAAAAATCTTTGTCCTTATGTGCTTATATAGCACTTATTAAATGTGAGACATTGTACTTACTGCTGTGCGTATATTTACTCAATTTTCACAACTTTATACCAATATTACCCCCATTTCACAGATAGTACAAAGAGGTTCAACAACCCACTTAAGGTTCTGTAGTCAGAGCTGGGATCCCACCCAGGTGTGGCTTCTGCAGCTGGGTTTTAGCCTCAAAAATGTTCCGCCCAAATTACATTCCCACTAGACGGATAGAGAGGAGCTGAGTAGGCAGAGTCTAACAGGCCATAGTAGGGCATTCAGAATTTATCTTTTGTGCAAAGGGATGTTATTAAAGGGTTCCAAACAGGGAATAACTTATAAGGATTCCGCTGGCTGGTCGGGGAGAATGGGTCAGTGGGCGTCAGGAATTCAAGCAGAAGACTGGTTACGGACTCATGGTATTCTAGGTGAGGTGCTCAGGCCTGGGATGGCGGCATTCTTTCATTTAATCTTTTAAGTTCTGTTACACGGGTATTGGTGGCCTCATTTTACAGATAAGGGGAAAAGTTAGGTAATCTGGAAGACGTTAGGGCCTCACAACCAGTGCTGTTTCTGTCCAACATCTGATTCAGCTCAATTTCTGAATGTAGATCCTGTACTTGGTTATTTAATGGTACTTCAAATTCATGTATTCTGTCACCATGAAGTAGAGAATGTCCTATTTTACAAATGAAGTAACCAAGGCTTAGAGGGCCAGAACCTGGTAAGTTCGACCCCACCGTTCTCTGAATTTCTGTAGGAGCCCACCTGTCTCCCTGACTGAGGCTTTTCTAAAACATACACTTGATTGTGTGGCTCCTAGGCCAAAAACCTTAGTGGTACATTACCATTTAGATCGTTCATGCTCCATGGTACTGAATCTGGCTGGAGTCTTCCAGTTCCCTCAGTCTACCTGGCAAACTTCTATTCATTTCTCAAGGCTGAACTGGTGCTGCCCATCAGATCCTTTTCTGCCTAGCAAGCCAAGTGCTTTCTTGTTAGTGTTCCCACAGCATCTTTTAATGTGCCTTGGGCAGACTAATTGACAGAGCACCATGTCTTTTTTGCTTATACCTCCTGTCCCCAGGAGAGGGCCTGGGACCTAGGAAGCATCACTGGACAAGACAGAGGTTGGAGTCTTCACCACATCACTTAGCTGCAGGCGAGGATTTGGTCTCCAGGGCGGTCCAGAATCAGCACCACACAGAGTCGCAGTAGTGTCTTCAGCTCCAGGAGGCTCAGACACACATCCCAGGCCCTTCCCACAAACCACTGAAAGGCTGACTTGTTTCCTCTTTCTTTATTGTTAAACAATGTATAAACACATAAAACAGTAAACAGCAGGGATCCTCTTGGGACTCAAAAAATAGCAACAGAGGAAGAGGTTCCAGAAACTTTTTTTAAAGTACAAGACATATCAGTGCCCAGACCAAGGATGAGAAGGCAGGCCAGAGCCAGCAGGAAGTGGACTAAACGCTCCTCCGTCTCCCCAGAGCAGGACAACCCCAGCAACCTCTCCACCAGCAGCCAGTCCATACAGGCAGAATGCCAACCAAGGGAGAGCTGCCAGCACGCCTTTCCCACTTGGAGGGGCAACACACAGGGCAACCCAGAGCTCCTTCCTCACATCCTTGCTTGCTCCCCTCAGGGCTACAATTGAGGAAAAGGAAAGGAGTGTCCCATGTCCCTCTGACCACCTTGCCCAGCTGCCCTGGCCCTGATGCACCCATACTTGGTCTTTCCCTGATGAGACCCTGTCCCAGCTCAGGCCCTAACAAGACCCACTAGGTGCCCAAAGTTCACTGGGGCGGGACGAGGTGGTGAAAAGGCTGGGGGTGACACCAAACATCTTTATTTGCAGTCGTCACTAGGGCTGTTTCTTACTGCTTATTTGTTTGCTGGCCTGCTCTTCCAGCTGCATGGCCAGGCGCAAGGCCTTGATGACATCTGGAAGGAAGGGGAGGAAGGTGGTGTACTCAGGGTTAGTGGGGGTCTTGGAGACACCATTCCCTCAGGGCAGCTGCCACCGCCTGCACAGGCCCCATCTTCTAGCCGCACCCTGTGAAGCTGTACCCACCTTGCAGAGCAGAGAAGTGCTTGGCTTGTTGGGCCAGGGCAGCCTCTGCCTTGTTCACAAAGGTCTCCAGGTCGTAGTCCGGCTGCTCCGTCATCTCAGAGAGCTCAAGCCAGCCTGGCCCTTGCTGCAATGATACAGGGAGGACCTTGTCAGTTCAACAATGACCAAACCAATTTAGCAAATAATTCCTGGGGCCCTACCACCTGCAATGCTGATGCCCGTGCAGAAAGCCCGTTCCTCCAGGTATGGCCCACACCCTGCCTCCCGACCCTCTCCTGCAGAAGTCCCTAGTTGAATTCATCCTCTGCCCCACCCCAAACTTGTCCCTGTCCCTTCCATCAAATGAATGTGATCTGTCCTGATGCATAAAATCTGAGCAACAATTTTCTTCTTTTACCTTCTTTGTCCCCAAATCCTACTAATTCCACCCTTTAAGTGGTTCTTTTTTTTTTTTCTTAAAGATTTTTATTGGGGAATTGGGGGAAGGAGAACAGACAAGTTGCTGTCCTTTTGTTCTTCAGTCTAGTTGTGGAGGACGTTGCTTCANAAAAAAAAAAAAGAGCATTTTTCTATTAATACTGGTCAGAAGGGGCCTCTCTGGCAGCAGAGATACAGTAACTGGCCTAACTTCATCTCCTCTGTACTTTAGGGAACGGTAAATTGAAGATTTACATATCTAGGACCTTAATTCCTTCTTCAGGACCAAGTTAATTAAAGACCAGGAAACTCCTGATTAAATTGGATATGGAGTATTTTGTAGACAAGGCTGCACATTTTCGCTTTGTTATAGTGTTGCTTTCTCGGTTAACATCTCAAGAGCTGAAACATTCCATATTCCCCAGCAGTGTGGGGGGCCAGTTTACAATTCTGACTCCAAATCACCCTGCTTCTAGCTTATCTGACTCCTCTGCCCCTCACTCCTATTTCTTACGCATCACACTACCCAGGAGATACACTAGCAAATTGTGCAATTGAATAGAACATACACTTTTCATTTAGATTCTTGCAGCTGTATCATATGTAATAGTAGCACTTTTTCTACATTTTGGTCAAATAAATTTTTACATAAACTATAAAAAAAAATCCTCTATATTGTCAGCCATGTCTCTGAACGTTTCCTTTTCTTTTGCCTCCTAACTTGGTTCTCTCAGAGAACTTTTCCTTGTCAACCTTCTCAAGTGGAGGATGACTACACCCTTGTTCTTTAGATGGGAGACAGGTGTGCTCCATGGTCTTCATTGCCAATTTCAGGCCATTCTTACTCTATCCTCCCTAAAAACCACAAACTTTGAATCTTATGCTATAATACCATAACATTCACAACTCCTCTTTACTGCAGTTATCTATCAATTCTGGTTCTCACCAACTTGTGCCTAGATTTTAAATCCTGATTCACTGTTGTTTCTTTAATACTATTCCTATCCTATTTTGGGTGCCTACATACGAGCATCTTTTACCTCCCTCACCCTTAACCTTTCACCAGTTCCTCACCCTGTAAGTCTTTAAACCTGGGATCAATCCAACCTCTTGTTCCTGACACCTGGGTTACAGAATGCTGCTGGATAAAGTAATGTAGTTCTGCAGACTAGCGCCATTAGAAATTTAGAACAATAATTGGTATTAGGTCCTGGGGAATCTTTACAAAGAAAGACTTACTTGAAGTATAAACTCTGATATAAGAAAAGATAATTAGATTGTAATCGATGCTGTGAAGGAAGTAATGTGCTATTGGGGGCAGGAGGTCAGCTTGAGATAGGATACTCTGAGATGGCTTCTTGGGTGACAGAGACCTGGGGGTAAACTGAGACTTGAAAGAAAAAAAAGATCCTTCTGAAGAGCTGATGGTTCCAGGCAGAAGGAACATCGAGTGTAAAAAGCCCTGAGAAGGGTAAGCACTTCTGGAATGGTGGAGTAAGAACCTTAAAAAAACCACTCCTCCATAAAAGCAAAGAGAACACTGGCCAAAATTGTCAAAATCAACTTTTCCAGAACTCTGAAATTAACCAAAGGCTTGCAACAATCCATGGAACATTTATTCAAGAAAAACAGCTGAATCTTGGAGCAGTGATCTTTGCTGCTTTCAAACTTGCCCTAATGCCACCCCCTTCTTCCAGCTCCACAGTGGCTTTGAAAACAGCAATTGGAGGGGGAAGAATGGGTCTGGAGTTCTCCCAAAAACCCCATCCCCAAAGAACTGTCACCATTTGAGCTGTCTGGCCGATTGCTGAAAAGCTCCATTCTTAGAGCTTGTCTTTATTTGACTTCACTCGGAGCTCACTCTGTGACCAGCTCTATTCCTAGGGTGTTTGTTTTTAAAAAAAGTCGGGGGGGGGGGCGTCCGAGTGGTGCGATGGTTAAGAACTGGCTTGGGACGCCAGAGGGCCCCGGTTCGGATCCCACATATGAGGGCCAGTGACACTGCCCTCCA